GCCCCGATCCACACCCAGCTTGGTCTTTGCTGAGCTCCGCGACCTTGGGCAACCGACTGACCTATCAGGGCCCGTTTTACAAAGTGGAGCTAGTGGCGCCCGCTTCCCTGACTTGTCGCGACAACCCGCTAGAATGTGTGGACGGTGCGTGCACATCCTGAAGGTTTGCGCCCGCGAGGCTTGTGCAGCGATGGGCTCAGCCGTCTGCTCGCCCTCCCAGCTCTTCAGGGCCCCTGGCAGTCCTGACCACGGAAGATGGATTGCCTCGGAAGGGAGGGGCGGGAGAAGGGCCCAGGAGTGGCCCCCCCTCCCCGCGACCAGAGCGGTGGGAGGGAGCCAGCCCAGTGAGGGCCGGGGTCCCCGTGTAGAAGGCACGGGATGCTGCTCAACAAAATGCCCCCGAGGGCAGCCTGCCCAGTTCTGTGTTCAGTGTCCGAGAGCCCGTGTGTGGGCCTCAGCGCCAGGAACGCCCCCCACTCTTGTGCTTAAATGCTGTCTTCTCCATCATCCTAACGCGGCGCTTTGTCCCTCCTAGAGCATCGCTGGTGAAGTGCAGGCCAACTCTGACCTTGTGGCTTTACCTTTACGCCGTCATGGTCATATTACAAGGAGCACCCACTCGTGGGCATGGGAGCAGTGGCGCTGACCGCTGGCAGAAGTAGAGGGGGTGTTGGCCCCAGCTCAGGTCTGTGGCCGGGAGACAGAGGCGGGGATCTGGCTCTGGCCGCTGGACACGGACCGTGGCATCAGCATCATCCCGTGACCTCTCTGGTGGAATTCCTTCACACGGCAGCCCTTATCGATGGCCTCCTCTGCACCAGGCACAGGTCCAGGCACAGGTCTAGGGTTTTGACAGACCCAGCCCTGCCTGCTAGACGCCCCTGTCTGCGGGGCAGAGGCGGGCAGCGGGACATAACCCACCATGACAACTGTTTGGGGCTTGATAGTGAAGACCCACCAGGGGCCTGGGGCCTGTGGCCCGGGAAGCACTGGGCAGTGGGACAGCAGGAGGGGCAGTGGCCCGTGACTCGGGGCAGAGAGAAGCATGTTCCAAGGTGGGGAAGGCACTGGGCATGGAGGGCCGTGAGGCCTGGCGGACCCGAGAGGACCAGTGAGCGTGTGGGGATGTGCTAACACTAGGCTGTGGCGGGGCTGGGCACAGTCATGCCAGGCAGGTGGCGCGTGTGTAGAATTGGGGACATTGGCCTGAGACCCACTGGACAGTTTTAAGGTTAGTTTTAAAAATATATATGTGTATATATGTATGTTATATACCTATATCTGTATCTATCTATCTATCTATCTATCTATATATCTATATTGATTTCAGAGAGGAATGGAGAGGGAGAGAGAGATGCATCAATGAGGAGAGAGAACCGCTGATCGACTGCCTCCTGCACACCCCACACTGGGGATCGAGCCCGCAACCCGGGCCTATGCCCTGACCTCCTGGTTCACGGATCGATGCTCAACCACTGAGCTATGCCAGCCGGGCTCTGGTTAGATTTTTTCAATTCAAGGGGGAGGAATACAATGTTTTGTTTTACATTTACAGTGGGCATGCTCCCACCGTATGAGTGTCCTAACACGCAGAATCAGATGGCAAAGATGACAGGTAGTCAGTCCTGAGAAATAAAGCAGAGACGTCGGGGCCGGAGGAGGTGCCGGAGGAAGGGGTGGCGCTGGCTACGCGGTTGGAGGAGCAGCTGGAGAGGAGGCCAGGAAACAGGGCGTGAAGGGCCCCAGAGCCCTGGGCAGGGCGTGTCTCGAGAAGGAAGACATGGTGAGCCACGTCCCGCGCCTTGGGGAGCGAGGCTGAGTAAGCCGAAGATGGAGAAGGGTCCCCAGGAGCCACGGCAGGCACAGGGGTGGGGGTCGGTGTGCCAGGAGTTCGGGGCAGGGGGGCCATACAAGGCGAAAGCTGGACGGGCGAGTCACTGTGAGTCGAGGTGGACCCAGGGCGCCTGGCACAGATGTGGGGTCCCCAGGCAGGGCCAGCGCTCCATCGTGAGTCCTTACTGCCAGGACCAGGGACAACAGCCAGGGCTCTGTGGTGGGAAGAGGGGTAGGGCCCTGGTGGCGAACCCAGGAGGGGCAGTGGGCTGAGGAGAGCCCGCTGGGGCGGTGGGAACCCCTCCCCCAGGAAATGCCCAAACCACAACCGAAGTGGGGGTCCACCTGTGGACGTGGTGACCCTCAATTCCGGCAGAGTTTCTGGCTCATCAGCCGCTGAATGCACCCAGCCGGGCTGAACCAGGGCCTCCCCAAACACTGGTGGCTCGTGCCTTCACCCTTCCGCCCCCCGAGGCCCAGCTCCCCGAGCCTCCCTCCCTGCACATCCAGGCCCCCGGGACCCTGGAGTTCCTCATCTACACACGTGGCAACCTGTGCTGTAAGGACAGGTCCTTGCGGACGGTCCCCCTAGTCTCCCCATTCCCCCAGGGGCGGGCAGTGGTGGCTGGCGGCCTACGGGCCTCTGGCGATGGTCCCCTGCTGGCGGACCTGGCTGCGTGCCCCACCTGTCCTGTCCCCCCACCCCCTGCCGGCCCATTCTCAGGCAGTGGGGGGCCAGTTGGGCCCCTCCAGTTTGTTTCCCCGGGGTCTCTGCACCCCCCACACACACACTTGAACATGCTGTTGCGGATCTGGGTTAGTTATAAATAGCCAGGCCCGACTCTCCTTTTAGCTGAGAAGCAGCTAAGTGAACAGCAGCGAGGCACACCCAGCACGCGTTTTATTTTTGATTTTCTCCCTCCGGCTCAAAATGAACCGGCCCCCGTGCTCAGCATTCTGCAGGCGGAGGCCCAAGACAAATGCCCGAGGAAGGAGGCCCGGGGAGCCTGGGCCTGGCCCGGGCGGCCGCTGTGTGGCCTTGGGCACGTGAGCTGCCTCTCTGGGTCCCGGTTTCCTCATCCAGGTGGGGAGCATGGGTGGTGACGACCTCCAGTCCCACAACTGTATTTATTTTAACCCTCACCGAAATATCGATGTGGGAGAAACACGTCGATGGGTTGCCTCTTGCATGTGCCCGGACCAAGGCCCCGGGCTGGGGAGGAGCTTGCAACCCAGGTACGTGCCCTTGACTGGAATCGAACCCGGGATCCTCTGCAGGCCGACGCCCTATCCACTGAGCCAAATAGGCCAGGGCCAATATCGTGACTTTCTGACTTCAACCGCCTCCCCGCAAGCACCCCCCGACCCCCGCCATGGCTCCAGCAGCCACTGTCCCTGCGTTTCCCTAGAAAGCCAGACCCTATAGCACGAGAGGCCACAGTCAAGCCCTGACCGGATGATGATGATGCACAAATTCTCCCCCCCACTTGCCCCCCCAGCCTCACTCAGGTGCCAGCCAGGACCCTCCCCTCAGCAGCCAGCAGAGTCCTTCTTGGAAAGTGGACTTGGCGCCTCGCCACTGTGAGCTGGGCTGAGAGGGGCCCAGGCCTGGGCAGGTCGGGAGCCTGCGGGCAGGGCCTGCAGGGGAAGCGCAGCAGGAGCAGGAGGCCTTGGGGTGGGTCGGGCAGGGGTCTGTCCAAAGAGGTGGCTTGGGCGGTGGGGACTGTACAGCTTCTGTCTGTGTATCCACACCCCCCGCCCCAGACACACACACCCCACAGGCTCTTGCTTGTGGCAGGGACTCCAAGTTGGTGGAATTCGGGGGACTCCTGCTGTGCTGGGCCAGCTGTCCTGGGCCTACCGCGACCGTCCTTGCACAGAGCCCGTTCCCACCTGATACCCCGTTGGCATCGCACCCCCCCATCAGGTAGGCATGAGGAAGCCAGGCTCAGAGAGGCTCAGCGCCTTGTTCAGGGTCACACAGCTGGACACAGTGTGGGTCCAACTTAAGCATTTTTTTCTGGAATCCGTGTTTAGTAAATCGTCAAAAGCCCCGGACTCAGCAATCAGGAAGCTGCTCTTTCCGGCGTCGTGACCCGCGAACAAATGGCTGCTCCCCACCCAGCGAGGAGCGGCCGGGGCCCGGGCGCTGCTGGCTCTGCCGCCCGCTGACCGCCTGTCCTGTCGCCCCTCTCACCGCACCCCTCACCCCGGGCTGCCATTTGATGTCCTTTGAGGAAAGGACGGGGGATGCCTTCAAAGAGGAAACGCTGGTGCTAATTGGCACTGGAGACCTTTAGGCTAATGAACCTGTTTACTGGTCTCTGGAGTAAATTAGAAGGTTTAGCTGGGGAGGCGGCAGAGAGGTGCTTGCCTGCCCGCGGCCTCTGCGGGGCTGCGGTGGGAGCTGATGGGGGGCAGGGCACGGTGGGCTGTGGATGGCAGTGGCGGCCGCCCCTGCGCCCTGGGGAAGGGCTGTGCCCCCTGGTGGCGTCCTGCTCACTGTCCCCTGAGTGCTGCTCTGGGCATGTGGGAGCGGGGCCCCTAGGGGTGCCACCGGGCCGGTTCTGGGTCCTCCTCCGGCAGCCTCCGCAGACAGTCCCCGGGAGGGACTCGGGCTGGAAGGAGCCAGGCTGAGCCCCTCTTAAGCAGGCCCACCGCCTCGGGCTTCTCTGGGCGCCGGTGCCGCAGCCATGCCACGTGGAGCCATTCCTGGGGACACTCCAAGACCCTTGGCACGCCCGGCCGGCGGGGCTCAGTGGCTGAGCATCAACCTATGGACCAGGAGGTCAGGGCCCAGGCCCAGGTTGTGAGCTCCATCCCCAGTAGGGGGCGTGCAGGAGGCAGCTGATCCATGATTCTCTCTCCTCATTGATGTTTCTCTCGCTCTCTCCCCCCCTCCCCTCTCTGAAATCAATAACAATATATATCTTAATAAAAGGGCGATGCCCCCTGTTATAGGCGACCAAAGGCTGGTACCTTCCCAGGTCCTCGGGGGCCTCGTGGACCCCACCCTTCCCTGCCGCCCCCAGCCTCCTGCAGGACTGGCCTCGCCCCTGCGTGCACGAGCCCCTAAGGCAGCCATGGAGAGTCAGAGGGGAATGGTCACCCCGAACAAGGAGCAGTCCGCATGCGTCCTGGTAGGTGTTCTCTTTCGTGATATTGAGGATGGAGAGCAAACACCACCATCCTAGAGAAGACGCTCATCGCCGTCAGGTGAGACGGACGGACGGACGGACGGACGGACGGAGCGGGCAGGCGGGGCGGCCCTGGCCAGCCTCACAGCGGGGAGCTCTGCCCCCTCTCCCCCCCACTGAGACATGCAGCATGTCCGTCCGTGGGGAGACTGTCCCGGTGTTGCAGCGCAGGAGGGAGGGGTGCCCCTGGCACAGAGTGGGCGGGAGGGGCCGGGGCTGCTGCTCCCCACCTCACCATGCACAGGACCCCTCCCCACGGAGGCCTGTGGGCTGAGGCTCTCCCAGAATCCCCCACTGTCACGCTCACAGTGTCCTGCAATGCCAGGATTGAAAGTGACCAAACGGCCTGGCCGGCGGGCTCAGGGGTGAGTGGCTCTCCGTCCCACAGGGGCCAAGGGCATCGTGGGCAGCGGCCTGATCCCCTCGCTGGTGCGCAAGCTGCCCCGGGAGGAGGAGCACATCCAGGAGATCCTGCTGGACACGCTGGCGGCCTGCCTGCAGGAGGACGCCA